CTTTTTCATCAGAATGTAATTATCGCGGTCTACTCGCGAGAACGGCTCTCCCCCTTTTTCGAGGAGAACGGTAATCTACGGTAAAGCAAGTCATAATTCCTTCGGCCACGTGACCCACACCTACGTATCGTAAGACCAAATCTGATATACGATAAAATCTTTCTGTCATTTGCCGGTACCGAAGGGAGCCAATTCCAAAAGGGTGTGCGACGAAGTTTTAACCGGAGGAAAATAGGTAGGTGCCTGCTTACGTGGGTGCGGGTATCTTCAAAGTGAATTAATATTCTTCGAAGACAAACCTTTCAATGGAATATTTTCCAATCGAAAAAGGTTCCACTAATATGTTTCGTTAATTAATCAATATATACATTTTTATGAATTCATTTAAAGAGAACCGTTCACACGTTACATCTGAATAATAATAAAAATAAACGATTAATTATTAAGGATTCATTTGTTCTTTTTATTAAAATGGACCACGAGAAGAGAAGTTTGACGTCAATGTATCTTTTATCGAAGTTTAAGGGATAGTATAGCAAGCAGCCATCATATCGGAACGGGAGGCAACGTTGCTACCCCATGCTGTTGTCTACCACCCCGGAACACGCGTCGTTCTATCTACCCTCGAAAATCCATAGTGGACCCACCCTTCAGGGCGCCTGCGCATCTCGCTTGCTTCGTTCTAACAACCAATCCTCTGACCCCTTTCCGCCCCTCGCCACCTCCTTTACAAGCCGACGAATATACAAGCTGTACACACGGAATCGCCGCTATCGTCTACAAAATAGGGGGAAGGAAGAAGGGAAAAATGAGGAGGGAAAAAGTGAGATAGAGGAGAGAGAGAGAGAGAGAAAAAAAAGGGCCAAGAATTTTCACCAATATTAAATGCAAAATGGCCGTGCGCGTGCCGTTCAAAATTCTACTTTCCTTTTTTTCCTTTATCTTTCTTTTTTTTTTTCTTCATATTTCCTCTTTCTCCTTTTATTCGATAAACAGTGGATAATTATTAGTGCGATGACTACGTATTTATTCGTAACTGCATAACTACATAAGTACTACTAACATGTTATAAAGTGCATGAGTAAGTCGCATAACCGTGTTTCTAAGATAGGCGTGTCGGTTCATTTTTAGACACTGATAGATGAAGCTGTTATTATACACATCTTGATAAGTTTATTCTTTTACAGATCCTATTGAATTGGTCAATAAATAACGGGGAAAATTTAACAAAAAGAAAAAGAAACCAAAATTACCGAACGAATTATATTTTGTTGGTCAAATAATCGATTATCGAATGCACGAATGCATTCTGTTGTCGAGTAAAGTGAAATAATGAAATATATCATTTTCTATCGTATCTCTTTATATTTTTCCTAGATCTTAATTATTTAATGTAATAATGAATACGTAGCATAAACGATAGGAATTTTCGAAGCATCGCATTTAGAATTAGAATAGGTGAGTAAATAGGAACATTTTTCGAGAGTTGGGTGCACATTGTTAACGTTTACGGTGTCACGCTTCGCGGACCAGATAAAAATCAACGCAACTGGCCTAATGCCAGTAGGGTAACGTTTAACATTACTAGGGTGTCCCATAGAACATATACGAATACTTGGCTTATCACCTGGCCGAGCTGTTGGCATATAGAAATCGTGCGTTATTCGCGTTAGGGATTCGCTAAATTCGAATCCTATGTTCAACGAATTGTTCACGCGATTTCGCTCACCCGTATCAATTCTCGAACGTACGTACGTACGCACGTTCCTTTTAATTACAAGAATAATAATTTTAATAAGAATAATTTATACGTAGGTAAATACATATTTAGATGTGGGCGTGCGTGCGTGTGCGTCTCTCTCTCCCTACATTTGAATGATAAAAAGAACAGTTGGAAACAAAAGTTAGTTACGTAAATGGCATATTACGCGTAGCTCGTCAGTGGTAAATAACGATTATGCAGGGGATATGTCTAATTGTTCTTTCAAATCTATAATTTTTAATCTATCTGTCATCGTGTACAGTTGTCATTGCAAATTCTCATGTAATACAAAAGCTAGAGAAAGAGTACCGCATATCAATAGACACATCACTCTCGCGGAGACATTTGAAAAAAAATAAAAAAAAAATCCATCTTTTGTTTCCTTTATTAATTCATATTATGATTGTTAAAATAAGAAGAATCGTTCGGTCGTGCAAGTAAGAAGAACAAAGCTTGCGCGTATCTCGGTAGGAAAACTTGTTTCGTTCGAAATACTTCCTGGGTGGTGACAATACACATGTAGATAAAGAAAATAGAAATATAGAGAGAGAAATATAGAAGAAAAAGAAAAAGAAATAGAAAGAAAAGAAGAAGAAGAAGAAGAAGAAAAAAATGGTGGGTTTAATTAAAATGCTTAGGGGTTAGAAAGCGTGATGAATGAGATCGCTCGCGTTGTACGCAGCTGCACGCGGAGTACACAACCTGGAGAACTCTATTAATTATTAGATGACACCAAATCCATTATCCGGGACGAGGAACACGACGGAGGTCCTGCAGAAGTGGTCTCATTCGGATACCATTAACAGTGTGACCGTCTTCTTTTGTTCCTCTTTCCTACCTATATCTACTACTTTCCTATCTTTCTCCACTATTTCCATGGCTAAGGCGCAAAACAAAGCTCATTATCGTGACGAGAGAGAGAGAGAGAAAGAGAGAGAGAGAAAGGTTCACGTGGGCCGGACCCAACGTTACGACCTCGCTTTTAATATGCTTCCTCGCGACTTCTCTTTCTTCTCTTTTTCAATTTTTGTCTCTTTCTTTTTTGCCATTTTGCGCCTACGATTGTTCATTCCTATCTATTTATGCACGTGGATGGCAACGATCACCGTTCTATCGATTATTTTTCATCTTCATCATTTTGCTAATATTAATTTATCAATAATTGCATATTAATTTATAGTTATATCACGAATTTCGAGAATATAATTTTTTTGAAAAGAAATAATTCTCGGCTTGTGTTTTTTTTCTTTCTATTTTTTTTTCTATTATTATTTTAATTTTCGTTTGACTCTTGTAGGTATAGAAATGCTGTTGCGTCGGTCAAAGAAGGGATTTGCGAGAGAGAAGCGTAAGCGGTAGTCATTCATAGTGACATCTCATTAACACTATTTCCTTAATAACCCGAGATAAGAACTGGTCCTTTACCGTGTGTATGTGTGTTGTGTGTGCGTATATCTCTCGAGAATACTCGTAGCAAAGTGTCCATCTCATTTTCTTGTATACTCGGTGCCTCTTTTGAACTTTCTTATATTTTCTTTCTTTCTCTTTCTTTCTTTACTCTCTTTCTATCTTTTTCTCACTTTTTCACTCTCTCCCTTTCTCTCTTTCTCTCTCGGTCGTTAAATATACACGTATATGCGTAAGAATAATAATTATTCGTAAGTATAGGCCTAAGAACGTCGGGCAAGAGCCGGTGTCTTTGATACGGTTGTTCCGTCTTTTAGTAGCATTTTAGTTAAAACCGTGTCTCTCCTTCTCTCCCCGATTCCCATGTCGAGAGCGCCTTCAATTAAACAAACAGTTTCAAAGGTAGTATCCGTAAAATTTGATTTTGCATATTAATTTCGGTAAAGCGATCAGTGGCGGCTGTTGCGCCGGTACAATTCTCCTATTTTCTTTTTTTTTCTTCTTTTTTTTCTTCTTTTTTTTCTTCTTTTTTCAATTTTCATTCTAACGAACGAACTTCAATAACGCGAATGGTCCTACGATATAATGTCCCGTGAATTATTATTCTTATTTCTTCTTCTTTTCAATATATTATTATGATAATTATTATTATATAATTATTATTATTATGTGGCTCAGAGCAGTAAACGTCGTTAACACTAATCTACGGAAAATAATTCAACTGGTATATATGCAATATAATAATAAAATGGTAAAGCAGGCGAGAGAGACCGAGCGATTATCGGGAACGATATTATGCAAATTTCAAATTTACCGTCAGAGTCAGATAAAAGAACAATTAGCATGTTATTGGTATTTCGTTGTGGCTAATGTTACTAATTAAAATGCTCGATTACCTCATTCACTGACAGACTAAACGAATATTGTCGAGGAACTTTACACGTATTCGTACTTATATCAAGATTTTTATTTAATAAAGAATTCTATTTTCTAGAAAAAAAATAAAAACAAAAGAAGAAACGTCATGTATCAAAATCGTTGATTACGAAATCTGTTAACAATAATTTAGACCTTAAATTTTGATGATTGGTGAACGAGATTTGTTACATTGAATATTTTGTCAATTTGAAACAAAAAATAAATCCTATATTGCTTACGGCATTATCGACTAGTAGACGACCACCATGTAGTAGTTTTACTTGACGATAAGTACCACTGTCATAACTATTAAATAACTCGTACACTTTACGCTAAAAAAGGCGAGCCATCTTAACGTAAATATTCGATATTACGAGGCCGGTATTACCAATTTAAGTATACACAATTTGAGAATATATTTTCCGAATGTGGGGATATTTATACGAACACGTAGACACACGTATACAAGGATGTGTGTAATTTTGTATATACTAGCCCAGAAGGTTTGAACGTTGTGTCAATCAGCAGCTGGCACCGAGAACTTTTAATTATCGAAATCCTGCGAACGCGTTCTCCGGTCCGTCGTCGTTGGCAACCATTTCGAAGGACTCGACACTGCCTGATTGGAATCACCGGAATCCTTTAACCGGAGGAGGAGTGGCAAACAAAAAGAAATCAATTGGAGACTTAGTAAGCCACCGGTCTCTCTTTTTATCGGTCCTTCCTTCCATTTTCTTCTTTTTTTTCTTCCTCATCTTTTATACACGTTTGTTTTGTTTTATATCTTCTAAAAAAAAAAAAAAAAAGAAAAAAAATGATCCAATGTTTTATTCGAATAAATCGTAAAAGATTACAACTTTTCTCCGTTGATCTCGTGTATTAATGATATTTTTGTATCGATATTTGTTTACAGTTTAAAACCACCTCAAAAGGATGGCGTGACGAAGTCTAATCCGAGTAAACGACACAGAGAACGTTTGAACGCCGAACTGGATACATTGGCATCTTTACTTCCGTTCGAACAAAATATTCTAAGCAAACTCGATCGTCTCAGTATCCTCAGGCTCAGCGTCAGTTATCTTCGCACCAAAAGTTACTTCCAAGGTAAACGTTAATTTTTGTTTTGTTTTAAATATTAACGAACAATATTACGACGAACCGAACCACGGTTTCTTCTCGTAGAAATTTCGCTATTCGATTTTTTCGCAGGGCCAAGGAAGGGGAGAATTTATTTTGTTTAATATAAAATATCATAGATAATTCGAAAGTGGATTATCTTCGCGAAAACTTGGGAAAACACGCGAAACACTCGTTATTGGATTATCAGTCGAAAAACAATGACTCGAGAAGACAATGGTCTTCTTCTCGTTTAACATTTTCGTTCGAGATTTCCTACGAAACGTTCATTATCAAAAGACACAATGCTATCTTATACGAGTATAGATTGTGAGTGTCAAGAAAGGAAAAAGAAAATAAACTTTTTATAATACGAGTTGTACGATAATCAAAATTATTTTGTATAATTCGGATCGTGTAATACAATAATTCAAATATATCACCCGGAACAGATTAATCCCTTTTTTCTTCTACAATATCAATTAATCTTTTGCACTATATTATTGTCTCGTATCAAAATTGAAATATTTCATTTAATATCGTTTATATTTTGTTTGTAAAATATAATAATTTTTAATAATACGTAACAGTGCTGGAAAAATCAGACTCACGTGCATTTCTTGAAAACGAAATTGTTTGATACCGAAATTTATTTTATTCTAGAAGTGACTTCGAAGTGCAAAGGATTAATCCTGCTTGAATTTTTTTCTCCGAAAAAAAAGCATCACCATTTTCCGAGTTAGAATTTATCGTGGTATTAAACGAGTATCCGAAAAAGCGGCGGAATTTAAAAGGGATGCAATTAAAGGAAAGGTAAAAAAAAAAGAAAAGAAGAAAAGAAAAGAAAAGAAAAGAAAAGAAAGGGAAAGATGTCGAAAATCAAAGATCGGGTTCATTATTATCGACGTTACTCTTATGGCGTTTGGTTCTCGCGCGTTTTCGTAACGCACGCCCTTATGCGCGCGCGCGCGCGCACAATCTCATCTGCAATCACAATCGGTTGGGGTCAATCGAAGAATCGGCACAGGAGGATAATGGGTAGGCTCGTTTCTTTCTTTCTTTCTTTCTTTCTTTCGGCTGTCCCACAGTCTTCTCTTGCCTTCGCCATTAGGCTGTTTCTTACGTTGGTTGAATAACCACCTTGCCCTCCCTCTTTTCTGATCTAAGGGCGAAGGTGAACAGCAGACTTGTGCAAAGTTACACGAAACCACCTTCGTAATGCAACTCTTACATAGGGTACGCTTTTTTATCGATTTAGTGTCATCCGTGAGAAATACAATTTTAGATTTATCAAATAGACGACGTTATTTCTATTTTTATAAACGTTATCGTGACTATTTCCTTTTTTTAAAATTAGATCTTTAATTAATAAAAAGGGAAAAAGAATGAAAAAGACTTAACATTTATGTTACATGTACATTAATAATTACGCGGTGTTCAATTTTTCTTGAAATATCTATTCGAGAATATATAATATATAATCATAACACCTTACTTTGAAAACAGTTGGCATAACCGCGAGGGGTGTTAAAAGAGTCTTCTTTCGAGAGATCATCGAGTGGATAAACGTTGAAAGGAGAGACAGAAGATGAAAAGACACATGGAATTACCGAAGATGAAGTCTAGGGGGTGGCAAAGTTCTCGAGAGGAAGAAGAAGAATAAAAACAAAAAGAAAAGGAATAAGAAAAAGAAAAAGGGCAAAAAGGCAAAATGTAGTAGAAGAATAAAAAGAATAAGAAAAAGAAGAAGCGAGACGGAGTGGATTCTCGGCAGAGTGAGAGATGAGAGATATCGAGCGCAATAGCGTATGCAAGGTAATGCACGCGCACGAATACGAATCCGGATGGAGGAGTTAGGTGCAGAAAAAGAAAGAGAGATAGAGTGAGAAAGAGAGAAACTAAGCGCCTGTTCTTCGGCTACTCTTCGGGGTCCGCGAAGCAGCACTGGTCCTGGTATCGCGGATCTCGCAGTATATCACCATGGACCCAGAGGAGCTTGCTTGCCCGGCTTCTACTTAGCACGGTGTTGCTCTTGTCCCTGAGCAATACTACCCGCTACCGCTCACCGATCCCCCAGCAGGGAAACGGCCCAAACGGTAGCAGAGAGTAGCATTGTTCACACCGTTTTAATAGGTATTCATTGTCTGACCTCGGATCTTTTCCGAAGACTTTCAGAAGAGAGAGAGAGAGAGAGAGAATGAAACGCGGATTGTCGTCCCTGATGTTCCGATAAAAAAAGACTTTCTGATATCTCGGACCACAACAAGAGCAATAATCCTTTGTGTTAGCAATATCCTATTCTCATCAAAGAGCTTCCTGTGTTACGCGTTATTATATTATATTCTTTTTCTTCCCCCCATCCCGCACCCCCCTATCTTACTCTTTCGAATTTATTCAAAGTTATAAAGTGGATGGAGTACGTACTCTATCTGAACATAGATTATCAGATAAAAATAAGAATTCGTTGCACTCCGTTATGCAAATTAATTAGCGGTGATTTTTGAAGCGGACGCGTGCTTCGTAGTCGCGTTGCCGTGCCACGATCTGTTGGCAAGGTGTTGGCAAGGTGTTGGTAGGAGGGGAAGTTTGGGTGTCGAAGAGGCGGTGTGCACTGAAAAGATACCCCCTGCACAGCAGCACTAGCACCAGCAGCAGCACTAGCACCAGCAGCAGCAGCAGCAGTTCTTCGAGGATTCAGATAGGAGATCTTTGTTGTTGCACCTTTTCCCCCGTTGCAGAGCCCTTGCAAAGCCCTTGCAAAGCCCTTGCAAAGCCCGTTCGAGTGCGAGGAAAGAGAGGATCCACCGACCGAATCTTGGCAATTAACCGCCGCCACTTAGTCTTATTACTGGCAGTTCCGGTGTGTCTCGTACTCGGAATCTTAGCTTCTCCGCGACTAACTTTAACTCTTCGAAGCTTTTACTTTTCTTTCGTATTTCTTCTTGATACTCTCTCTCTCTCTCTCTCTTTCTTTCTTTTTCTTCTTTCCTTCCTACTAGATTCGAGATAGTCAACCTCTAACAATAAACGTGTTCGTGGCCGAGCGATTTTAACGACACGCTCACCTTCCTTCTTCCAATTTCAAGCGAATTTATTGTTTTCTTTCTTCTTCCTCCTCTTATTCCTTTGCTTCATCATCTTCGTTCCTCTTCTTCTTCTTCTTTTTTTTCTTTTTTATTTTTATATTACACGAAATAACCATCGATTTTACTCGTTGAGATGCAACGATGGTAAGTACACCTCATAGAGTAAGTATGTACCTGTATATATTTAGTTATAAATGTACATACGTATAGAGAGAGAGAGAGAGAGGCACACTCGTAATCTGAAATCGGAGAAGCACATACGGGCTAACGAGTTGCCGATTAATCCCGAGAACTTGCCTGTCGGCTGGCTGTTATCGAGGAAAGTTTTTATTGCGACTTTAATTAATTTCCTCGTTATATGTATTCTCTCGCTCTTTTTCACTAAAGAACAAGAAAAAGAAAGAGACACATAGAGAGATAGAGAGAAGAATGGGGAGTGGGGTGTGTGGGGGAGAGGGGGGAGAAGATCTCAAGCTTCGAAATTGCCTGTCGTATGTGGACATTACTTACGGGGTGATCTTTTTTAACGAGTACGGGATACGAACGATCGCTTTCTAGCGAAAAAAATAGTCCGAGAGTCCTGCCGTCGAGATATTCGATGAGAATTCTTTCCACGTTGTTTGTATATACGCGCGCGCGCATATGTGTTTTTATGCATTAATATATAAATGTGTGTGTGTGTACGCAAGAGAGACGTAGGCGAAGGCAGAAGGGAAAGTTTATGATGAAATTATTAGTCTTGTGGTACATTAATAACGTCTGTAGACTAATTGCTTACCGCGCGAGTACATTAAATCCTCATTAAATAATTCGTTACCGTCCGACACCTTAATCGAAATCTGCCACAGATGAAAAAATTACGTCCCCGGTATAATAAAGAGCTAACGAATTAGTCCTGGCTCTCTCCGAGTCCTTGATAATTCTATACGAAGAGAGTATTTCCATTAGATTTAGACACTGAAAAGATCATCTCGCAATCGTAGATATTACAGGTGTGTACAATACTTGCTATTAAATGAATATATCTTATTGTTAGATTCGTAAGTGTATATTCTAATGGAAATTTCAAGTTAGATCGTGTATTGATTATTTTCTTTTTTCGATTTTTCCAGTTTAATTTACGTACGTCAAAGTGGTGCACCCGTGCGTGATTTGAAAAATCGAAGATCACGTTTAGCGACGATTTTCTCGATACTTGTGTTGTGAATATTTCATTAGAATTAAACGTGGACAAATAAAATGATATTTTTAATTGTTATCGTCAATTTTCATCGAGAAAAATTCAATTTATATTCGTTGAGTTATTTTTTTCGAAAAAAAAGCAACGATAAAAACGTAGCAAGAAGAATGAATGGAAAAATCGGGTCTCGTTGAGCGATGACTTTATCGTCGAATTCGTTTTATCTTTTCGTTATTACAGCGTATGCGTGACATAATGTTACACGTATATGCCTATCTACAAAAGTATATCGTAAACGTTTGGAAATGCGTAAGTTTGCGATGAAGATCCGTCGAGTGATACGTTTACCTTTTCGTTATTACGGCTTATTTGCATTTTCCATTTCGTTCTCGCACCTGGCAAATAGGTGGTGGTATGGTTATATATATGAGAAACAGAGAAAGAAAAAGACAGAATGAGAGAGAGAGAGAGAGAGAGAGAGCAAACGAGTGACTAAGGTGCAAGATGGGCAGGCGGGACTCCACGAGGAAATCAACGGAACAGATCTTTCGTAGTACTCATCTCAAAAAAAGAAGAAGAAGAAGAAAAAGAAAAGAAGAAGAAAAGAAATAAAAAGAAATATTCAAAAGACTACAAGAAGGATGACACCGAGAAATATCGTAAATCGATTTACGAGCAAAATCGCAACGGAACAATCGTAACCGAATATAATAATAATATAA